TCCTTGATAACTATATTAAAGTGGTCGAGAAAGCCCGCGCACGGGCGGATTCAGAAAATCAGAGACATTCATCACGACACCACTCCAAAGGTGCACCCATCACCAGCGACGCTTCTTCGCGTCCAGTGTATGTGGACCAATCGACGAACACCGAGCAACGTCCCTCTCGCCGCCAGGCGCCACCGCCTCACATTGAAATCCCCCCTTTCTACCAAGACAGCCATGCCTCGGACTCGAACGCCATGGACATCACATCGTCCCCTCGGGTGCCTGTGACCTCCCCTCCGGAACGGAGCACCTTTGGACAGGATGCCCATAACCTAAGATCCAATGATACCCGCTATGCCCATGCTGCTCACCGCTACCGGGTGATGCAGCCCCTTGCCACGGCCCTTCCTCCCATGGATGCAGCTGATGGCTTTGGCCTACGCCCCGTGCGCGACACAGAGAGGCTTCCCAGCATGCTGCCTGGTTTCCAGAACGGCCTTGCGTCTCAGCCTGACTCCCCAACCACTCCCAGCGGTCCTGCGCAGCTGCGCAGCAACACACAAGCCCCTTCCGCCCGACCACGGCCTACCCTGAGGCAACAGCAATCAGCCTCTGGTGAGTCGGATGATGGAAATGGCGAGGGCTCGACTCTGGGTGACGACCCGGGTTCTGGAGAGACCGCTGAGCCGATCGTTGGTATCCAAAACCGGATGGAGATCGACGATGACGGCGACAGGCAAACTGTTCTGGAGGGTGTCTCCAACACGCACGACTTGACTGTCAATGATACCTCTGAAAGCCAGGAAGCCGAGACTTTCAACATCACTCACCGTTCTACTGTCGATGGCAGCATGATCAACAACGACGCAACGCGCACGAACGGGGCCTTGGGCCTGTCACCCACGCAAGCCCCCAATACTGCCAACTCGCCTGCTGTTGTTCCCAGCCCATACTCATTGTATGTGCGTGACCGATCAACCACAGCGGTGCAGGGCGTCTTGACGACGATGCCCAAGGACGAAGATGTCCTTATGTCGCTTCAGTTACTCGCATATGTTTCCAAGTACTGCAATCTGCGCTCCTACTTCCAGCACTCCCACCTCGTTCCTAAGCTCCAGGTTGATCGTGAGCTCCAAATGTTGGAGGACGGCGTGTCGCCCATCGAACCTTCGGAAGAGGAAGATGAATACCTGCTTCCGGACGATGTCAACATCTTCCCCTTGGTGGAGAAATTCACGGTTCGCCACCACTCCAAGGACATGCAATACTGGGCATGTGTGGTGATGCGGAATCTCTGCCGCAAGGACGAGTCGCGAGGCGGCATCCGGCAGTGCGCATACTATAAGTGTGGCAAGTGGGAGGAATTCCAGCGACAATTTGCCAAGTGCCGGCGCTGCCGGCGCACCAAGTACTGCAGCAAAGACTGCCAGAAGGCAGCGTGGGTGTACCATCGTCACTGGTGCCACACCACGCCATGATATGAACGCATGAAACTGTTTAATACCTCTAATGCATATCGGCTTGCATAGCGTCGTATCTGTCATGTGTTACCATTTTGTCATTCCGTTTCGTTTCCGAGGGTTTCACGTCTACCCGTGCATGGCATTTCAAAACCTGGCGGCGTTGCTCTTCATCCCAAAGATACCTCTTGTATGTCGTCGAATTTTATTTCATCATCATATTTCGATTTCTCACCTGTTTGATTAACGCGGGGCATAAAGCCTGATTCCCGGTCATATGGATTGATACTAGCGGTCATGAATGCGTGCACCTTTCTACCTTCTTCCTTGGATTGTTTCTGTCTTCATCATCTTTTTTCCTCTCTTGTCACTGTTCGAGCCCCTGGTTCCTCCCCCGTCCTGACGCCCAACGATTCTCCTTTGTGAGAAGCAGCCTATCTATCTAGCATTGTGAACCACCTCTCCCCCTCCCACACACAATCTTTCTGGAAGCGATTTCTTTGGGCATTGTGATTTACCTCTTATTGCTTGTTACTAAGAATCGGGCTGGGGCCGAGCCCGATCCAGTTTTAGTTGGGTTGTTGTGCATTTTTGGAACCTGTGCATACACGAGTGGCCTCCCTATGAATTGGACGGTGGCTATTGATCTAGTACTTATTCACTTGACATTTCACCATACACCACCCACCACAAATCTTTAGATCTTAAATAACCAACCCTACTGTAATCTTATCTTAATCATTCATCCTTCTCCCCCCTCCGAAACCCATACGTAGCATCCAACCTCGCCATTAAATGTTCTTGCGCCGTCAACGCCCTCTTCCCCTCCTCCAACATCCCCGCCCCACCCCCAAACCCAACCCTGACCCCTCCTTCCCCTCCATCCTTCTCCTCACTCCTCCTAGATTTCCTAAACTCCTCCACAACCCTACTCGGCACGGGCACCAACTCCGTCCGATCCAACGGATGACAAAAATACACAATACTATACCGATCCTGCGCATTAGGCCTCTGCTGCTCCGACGTAGGGAACACCACGCGGTGCACGGTACTCTTGAGTAATCCGTCCGTCCAGTAGCTGAGTAAATCCCCGATGTTGACTAGGATAGGTGGGAAGGGGAAGTCTTCACCCTTCTTCCCTTCTTCGGAGGTGGTGGAGGTGATGGTGGTGGTGGGAATAACAGGAACAGGCGCCCACCCCTTCCCATCCGGCGTGAGGATCTCCAGCCCCGGTTGTCCGGGACGCTGGAACAAGAGCGTGATGGAGCCGTAGTCGCTGTGGGCGCCGGCTCGAACGTCCGTCTTGTGGCTGTAGGTGGAGGTTAATGGGGAGGTTATGCTCGGGTAGAAGAGGTAGCGGAGGATGCTTCCTGTTGGGCCCGTGGTGGGGTCATGGCGGGTGGTGAAGAATGTTGGGGGGATCTGGATTTTATTTTAATATCATTCTTTTAGTTGGTATTGGGATTTGGTGGTGGTGATGATGTTTGGGGGGGAGCTTACGCCGAGTCCTAAGGCTAGGAGGGTCAAGATTCGAGTACAGGTTTTGTTGCACAGGGAGGCGAAGTGGGCGATTTCGGACTCGTGCGGGGTTAGGGATGCTGGGAGGGGCTGTTGGGCTTTGTTGGATTGGGTGAATTCGCCGAAGTTGAAGGCTCTGTTGGTTTTATGGGGGGTGGGTGGTTAGTTGGTGGTTGTGGTGGTGGTGGTGGTGATGGGTATAGGTGGGTGGGGGTGATATACTCTTTGAAGTCGCCGGTCTGTCGGGTGGTTAGTTAGTGAGTTGTATACTATGTTGATAGTAGGGGGATTGGCATGCTTACTCGTTGATGCTCAGGGTCCAGGGTCTCGGAGTGCATGCCGGACCAGCCTCGGTTCTAAGTAGGGTTGATTAGTTGTTGATGTCTATGGCTATAGATGGGTGGGATGGAGGGTCACGAACGTTAGGTTCGATGCGACAAGCGGCCTTTTCTTCAACTGGGGAGGCGAAGAACTTCTTGGACTGTAAAATGATATATTAGTATGCGTTGTCGACAAGACTATGGGGACGTACCAGTTCAAATGCCCGATCCACCTCCGCGGCCGTAAAATCGGTCCCCCGGCTGTCGACATACAAAAAGCCATACTTGGTGGCAGCAGCCAGAAGGGCCTTCCCCGCCTCGGGATCGAGGGGGTTGGAGATGTCCAGCACGGGGAGGTCGATGGGAGGGCCAACGTCAGACATGTTGTTATGCCTTGGCTGTATGTAAGATAGAATTAAGGTGATCCAGGAAGAGAGAGAAAGTGTTAAAAGAAAGTGGAGATTACGACTTTATACTTAACTGGAAGCGGACGTTGTTATCGGACAGCTGCAATACAGTTGAATGCGGGTCGAGCCGATGAGACAGTCATTGGCCCACCAAACCCTCAGGCTTCGGGTCCGCGGCCGTGGCTATCGGCTATCGATCGAATCGGGTCCAATGGCATGATTAAATGTCGGTGATTCGATTTGAAATGCGAATTCGGCTGGTGGATTGCTGCGTCGTTGTATTGTTAGTAGTTGCTGTTGCCGAGGATGTGTTCTGCAGAGTTATGTAGGGTTCACCTTTTATACTGACTGATATTGACTATGCTACCATTAACAACGTTTGAGATTAGCAGTCACCAACGTTTACTGTTTTCTAATAGTCGGGTTTGGGCAAACTAAGAACTCTGTACCCAACTCTGTTTACTTTGATACAAAGTAAGTGCAGGGTCTGAATGACTCAATGAAGAGGGTAAGCCCCACTACTGTCTTGCAATTGCATAGCTACCGTTCGGTTATGTGGACATAGAATTGAAATTTGTTTATCAGTGCTTTCTGTCATTCACGTAAGTCATATAATCCTCACCAGGCATCCTTCAAATTCCATTGATGGTGTACGACAATATCTACTAGCAGGAAGCTGTTCCTTTGATACACAGGTGTGCTAATTTCATTATCAACTAGCAACTGCATGTACTCATGCTGCTGTCATGCTACTATGTAAATCAATCAAGGGAACTCTTGAAGGTCCTAAGTGCAAAGATATATACTGATACTACTATGCCGCAGAAACCATGCTCGCACTAACAATTACCACTGGTTTAAGAATAACACAGGAACCCCCACTACTACAGTCACACATGACATATCATTTATATTGAAAAAAGGTGTTCAAAGGAGGTACTGAAAACAAGTACCAGCAAACAACCCGCCAATGCAGACCGCGGGACATTGACACATTTATACTTCAGAGACAATTGCATTCACCGAGGACAGTTCCAAGGTGCAGTACACCTAAACAATAAATTGTCTAATACTATATCATACTCCCAAAACAGTAACTATGATTACTATCACTATACTATAACAACTTCATAATTACCCAACAATCTATACAACCACCACCACCACAACACACCTGCCTCAGGCATACACAACGCCAAGCCCCCCCATCCCCGTAAACGCATGACACCATACCCAATCCGGCATCCAGCATTGCCATCATTCATACTAGTAACCCATCTTATATCACCATCATTAAACTTACCTCTGCCTCCTATACTCATACTCCATACTCTATACTCCCTCTCGCTACTACCATATATACAAAAACCACCCTACTTCACCAAATACCCTACACTCACACACCCCAAATCTAAATTCATACCAACTCAACAAACCACCCCCAAAAATAAACACCAGAACAGAAATAAAATGTCCGATCCCACCGCCGAAGCCGTCCCTCCCCCACCAACAACCTCAACCCAGGTACGCCCTACCCTTATCCTCTCCTCCCCCCTTCCCTTACTACCCAGTGCAATCACACCTACACGATATAAACCAGCAACAGCAGCAGCAGCTAATCATGATAAAACTAGAACTCCGACGCACAAGGCCAATTCTCCGCCGCCGTGGACGATCTCCTCGACCAGCTACAACATAAGTTCGATGGTGTTTCGAGGGAGATGTTTGGGAAGTGTACGCCATCCTTTTATTCCTCTTATATTTTTTTTTTTTTTTTCGTTGGGTAAGTTGTGGATTGAGCAGCGCTGATGGTGTGTTGGTATTTGATAGTGGACGATATGGCGAGACGGTTGGATGAGTTAGAGGCTTCGTTTACGGTTGTGGACGGGACGACTACGACGTCCGGGGGTGGTGGTGCGTTGCAAACGGGGACGGGGACGGAGACAGGGTCCGTGGTGGGGAGTGCGGTTGGGAGTGCGGCTGGGAGTGGGAGTCCTGAGAAGTGATTGATTGATTGATTGATTGATTGATTGATTGAGTACTGTTTATACTGTTTGGTGGGGTTATGGTGTTATGGGATTTGCATATATTGTGTATACTTGGGGAGCTCTCTTTCGTTGTTTATGGACTAGGGGGTGATGGTGATGGTGATGGTGATGTGATATACATACTGCTGGGTTGGGTGTGGTTTGAGGTGGAATTGAAGATACCCTTATCATTGATATACATTTACTACATATACACATAAGATGGATGATGTACTGTTCGCATCGATAACATTCTCGTAACTGCCTCTCGATATCATACAGAGTAATAGAATCTAGGTGACCGTCACCTAGCTAAGAAAGTCATATCGATACAATATCTACAGCTCATCCTTGGCATCCTCCCTCTCCTCACCAACAAACATGCGAAGGATGTTGCTGCGGGAGATGAGGTCGTCGACCTTCTCAGGGGCCGATCCTCCCTTGGCCAGGATCTTCTCCAGACGAGCAAGCTCCTTGGTGGCGTACTCGGCGTTCTGGCTCAGCTTGTCGGCAACCTTGACGTAGTACTGAGCGTACTTGTCCTTCAACTCAGCAGCAGCCTTCTTGACCGCGGCGGCGAGATCAGCAGCGGAAGTGCTGGCAATCAGCTCGTCCAGACTGGCAATGGTGCCGGCCTTGGTGTCAAGACCACCACCAACGGTACGGTGGGTGCCGGTCTTCTCGTTGAGGAAGTCAATAAAGGCCTGCTCGGAGCGGGCACCCTCGTAGGGAACGGATTCCGTGGAACCCTTGGGGAAGAACTTGATGGTGGGGTATCCGGACACGCCCTGCTCTCTGGCGGTGGCCTTGCCGTTCTCAGCGTCGGCGTCGACCTTGGCGATCACAACGTTGGGCTCGAGGACGAAGTCGTTGGCCAGGGCCTCCCAGGTAGGAGCGAGGTTCTTGCAGTCTATAGTTCGGCGACAGTATTAGTGAACAGTTCCCTAGAATGTGATAGCAAAGCTGGAATACGCACGTCCACACCACGGCGCGGTGAAAGCAACCAGAACATCATTGTCGCCACCAACAGCACCCTTGAAAGTCGCGTCGTTCAGCATCTCCACCTTGCTGGGCTCCTTCTTAGGTCCACGGGGCTTGACACCGGTCTTCTCAGAGATGAACGAAGACAGACTCTCCAAATCACGACCACCCTTGTAGTCCTCCGGCTCATCACTCTTTCCATCGAACCACTTCAGCGTGGGGAATCCCTGCACGCCGAACTTGCGGCCCAGGTCGCGGTGCTCGTCCGCATCAACCTTGCCGACGGTCACCTTGTCGGAGGCGTGGGCAAATGCCTGACCCAGCTCTTCATATACAGGCGCGAGGTTCTTGCAGTGACCGCACCAGGGAGCAAAGAATTCAACCAGAGCGGGCTTGCCGGACTTGAGGACAACGTCGTCGAAGTTCTTGGGAACGAGATCGACCACAGCTGCGGTGACCGCGGAGGCCAGGCCGAGGCAGCTCACGAGATTGCTGAGACGGACCATGATGGATGGTGTTGTTGTAGTTGAAGGAAAGGCTGAAGTAGGGCAATTGACAAGATACTTTGTCAATACCAGGTGTGTCCGTTCAGCGAGGAAGGGGTGGTTGCTGGGCGGAGTGTAGATATAGTCGTATGAGCTCCCGGCGTGGAAGGCGGAAGCGCTGCGGAGACCGAGCGGGTCGGAAGAGGACACTTGGTAAGTTAAGCATCACTAATCAACTCCAGCTCCATCAGCGGCTTTACGGCTAAATGAATCGTTGTATTCGCCACTACGCTCTCTTCGCAGGTTCTGACTACGCTGGGGGATAAAAATACTGGTGTAGCGCCTGCCAGCCCCTTCCATTCCTAATTATACAACGTGGTTGGAGTAGAATTGGGCGAAGCTTTCAGGTGGCCCTGGACCACCCAGCCGACATCACTGCCATGGTTCGTGAAATCGTGGACAAGTAGTGTTTCCTCTGGTTCTAGGAGGATACTCTATACAAGTCCCTTACCGCCGCTCGGCCAACCAGCGGTTCGCATCCTCCCACTGCTTACCCTCCTTGAGTTCCTTGCCTGCGCTCTGCGTACCGCGGTATACCTAGGAAGTAGATGAGTAAATATGCTGGCAAAGATAGACATTTCCGACTCACCGCATCCCACAGCTTGAACGCCATGTCCAGGTTTCCCGTAAAGCTGTCGCTATGCTGGAACCATTCCTTGCCCTTCGATTTCACTTCTGCCCGCGCCTCTGGCGATGTGGGATCCGCTTGCAAGGGCAGATCATCAAGGTAGGTACGGACAGCAATTCCAAGACCGCAGTCGTTGTCGTCGATGAACGGAAGCCTATATTGCGTCAGATCACGTCACATGGCGCATCATGTCCACATGTCCACTTACTTGATGCTCAGTTCGCCCCAATCGTTTCGCTCCCGGTCAGCATCGCCGCTCAGGAGCAGACTGGCCAGAACCACCTCGATGAGCGTCCGTAGCGTAGAACGAACCTCGGAGATCAGGGATCGGTAGCAGAGCAGTTGCCGGCTTAGTGGTCCAGAATAACCGATGCTCTTGTGCTGGAGTTTGGCGATGCAAGCAAGGCGGGAAACGAGCATGTTGAGGCTCTTATCCTCGTCTGGGGTGGGATAAATCAGCACCGTTTCATAGCTACAGAAACCTCAATCTTACCTGAACCTCTCATAGGACCTCCCGAAACATGGGAGAACCACTGCTTGGAGTTGAGCAGGCCAAACCGGATCATCTCAATGGCAAGGAATGTTGGCTCCTCAAGCGCATCCGCCGGATCAAGTCCCGACAATGCTTGCTCAAGGCAGACACCCCACTGGGTAAGCTGATGTTTCTCATCAATGTAGCCGCGAAGCTGTAGGAAGCGCCAGAAGACATTGGCAAGAAGCTCATCTTGTGACGATAATTGCTAGTACGTGTCAGCTCACTCGCTCGCGATCTGGGGCAGAAGATCTCTACCTTGGTGTCTTTTGTAGCCTTGGACTTCGCTACAAAGTCACTATCTTTCAAGCTCTGGACAGCAAATTGGAAGCGTCCACACGAGCCCTGATCTTTGGTTAGCAGCGCTTACAATGGTGATGGAAGATAGAACTTGCCTGCAGTTTCTGCAAGCTCTCGGGAAGCTGCTCGGTGGGAATCTTCCAAGACTGGATCGAATCTTTAACTGGAGGAAGATCTCGGAGGTTAATCGTCGAAGGGGATTTTTCATCAAACCACGTTCGCACATTGATAACCTTGGTCTGATAGAACCGATGGAGGGAGTTCGATAGCAGGCAAATCGACTGAGTCCGGATGGGTGTGAGCGTGCTGCCGGCAACTTGGCGGTAAATTTCCGTGTCCTCAACGCCCAATGGCAATGAGATGAGGACTTCACCCGACGTCAAATAGTTGGGCACATCAGGGCCTAGAATTCCCTTGGACAAGTAGAAGTAAAGCTCTTCTGGGAGGCGCAGGCCGATGACGGCGTGCATATCGGACGAGGCATTCTCCTGGTCCATAGGACCCACCCTGCCGTCAACATCGATATAGACATGGTGTTTCACAGTCATGCATGCGCGCTTGTAACGATCGGTGTATTCGAGCTCCTGCATCCGGCGATCCTCTTCGAATTGAGCGCAGAGAGCGAGAGCGCTTCGTCCTGCCGCGTTGAACATTGGCAGCGCATCTCGGACCGTAGGGTTCTTTCCGGGGAAGACATGGGTTTCGAAACCAGGGAAGGGCTGGAGGAAGGAAGAGCCCAAGAGAAGGCAAAAGTCCAAGAACTGATCATTTGATAGGCGGCCTAGTTCTTCCAGACATGTCTGTTTGTTGATCCAGAAAAATTGCGCCGGGTCAATCTCAATGCGGGTGATCAGTTTATCCACGTCGAACATCAACACTTCGGAGGGGCCACAGATAGCATCGATCAGCGGGTTCGGTCCCTTGGCCAGGTAGGAGAGCTATAATACACAAAGGTCAGAAAGGCGCAAATGGGGGCCAACCGAGGCAGCGGCATTCGTACCTGGGCTGCAGCACTATAGGGAGCAACGATATAATCCACGCCATGTTGAAGAAGTATGCGCTGCAAGAACCGGTATAGCGACTCGGGTCGAGGGGTGCCTAGGACAGACGATAGTCAGGGCCAAACGCTTTCAAAGGTTGGATTCCACCATTAACATACCGGCGCTGCTGAACGCATCCACCACTTGGTCCGCCTGCTGTTGATCGTAAAGATCCCAAGCCTGCTCGAATGCCCGGACGGACTCCTGCTGCACGTGGGGTCGTTGATCCTTCTTGCCAAAGTCGAGACCGTTGAACACGAAAATACAAGCCACGCCCAGATCCTTGTAGGCCTTCAGTTCTCTTTCAATGTTGCTCTTCAGTGCGAATGGAAAGCCGCCGAGGGCGACAAGAAGGGGCTCGCGCGTGGACGGTTGGAGGAGGTGTTGAGAAATGTAGTGCGACGCATCGATACCGACAACCGCCCCTTTGAGAGCTGAGAGGGGGAGGGACTGGGTGCGGGTCGCGGCCCATTCATCGAGCGGACGGACTGTTGTGACAGAGAACTTATATCAGCTTGGAAGAAGACGAGACACAGGAGCTCCGCGGGAGCCACGACCATAGCAGACTTACTTGGCATGGTTTTAGCTGTAGCTGTGTCGCGGAGTTAGACGCCGGAGCGGACACCAGGCGTGGAGAGCCCAGGTGGGGAATGAGGGAGAGGATATATGAAGAGTTGGTGCGAGGATGACGGGGAAAGGAAGAGAATGGGAGAAATTGAGGAGAAGAAAGGAAATGAGGAGGGGGAGGAGAGGAGGGCCGGCGAGAAACCAACAGCTCAGAGGGAGAGGGGAATGAATTGGTGGTGATGGGATGATGCGACAATTGAAAGTAGCAGTTACAGCTTGAAGCCAATCACGAAGGCGGTGTTGCCCCGGGCCAACTGGCGGATCCTCCCTCCGCTGCGGGATAATTGTAGTTCTTCTACTTCTCCCTCTTCTTCAGTTTCCACCATATATTCCAGCTGTCAACTATGGGAGATACTGACCCGGAAAGGCGTTTACTATCAGAAGAAGCATCATGGTATAGCCTGGCTCCCTGGCTTCGAGAACCCAATGGTTGATTATGAGTTCATTTTGACTTTTATGTTATCTCGACATCCAAACATGAAAGAATAGTGAAGTCAAAAGCTGCAATAATGACAGTATATCCTGGCCGGCTGGAAGTCTTAGAGCGCAGATTCTCTTCACTCTTACCTCACTTTACTAGCACTACTCTGCCATACTGGTACACCCTCGGCCTGACAGAAATATCTATACACTCCTGAGAGTGGAAACGGACTCTTACATCTTGCAAATTGCGACCTCGGATAATAGAGTCAGACCTCACCTAGCTATGATATTCTGCTTACCTACAGAGAACTGTCACTTATTAGTCTCGCTGAGGGGACATTCGGCCTGCTATTAGTATTCTCTTTTCGTCTCCTCTTCTCACTCTCTCCACTTCTTCACACCTCTATCCTCCTTTGACTTTCAGTCCTTCCTTCTGCCTCCCTATTCTCTTCTCCCTAACACCTGAGGTCGTTCATTTCCATATGCTTCTTCATCCACTCTTTGTGTGCACATCTGATGCTTTCCATCAATCTGAGCAGGACACATAGCGTCTCTTATTTTTGTGAGAACTCCACGCCCTTGCGGTACTCCTACCGTGAAAAAGCACCATTTAAAATTGACTGAAGCTGGATTAGAATGTGCGCGACGATATGTTTGACATCCTACGTTGTCCATAGATGGAGTTGCTAGTTATTGTGCCGAATGGGAGTTTGCCAGGAGCAGATTCCTTTCTCTGACTCCTGACTGCCGCTGCAACTGTCAGCCTCAACGCACCTGCCGTTTACTGATACCAAGGCTACCTTCTGCAGTCTTGATCGAAAGATGTGTCTTCTTCTTTTTCTCCTACTTAACGAACGTCCTACAAGTACGAGCAAGATTCCCCTAAACACACCGGACAATGTCAACGTGGAACTGCTACTCATTCGATCCGGAGGTTGCACCGCTGCTCGGTTATCGCCCTTCTATCACAGCTGGAATCCTTTTTACGATTGCTTTTCTTGGTGTCTTAACAACCCATGTTTCGCAAGCATGCAACACCATATATTCCTGGATAGGATTGGTGCTATCACTTGGAGCTGCCCTTGAGTTTATCGGATGGCTTGCTCGTACTTTGGCTTACCGCTGTCCATATAACTCCACCATATGGGCAATACAGCTGTCAGCTTTGATGTCTGGTAAGTATACAGTTCAATGAGTTTACATTGGCAACAATCCTGGCTAAAGCATACAACTAGCTCCATACTTTACAACCGTCGGAATCTACGGAGTCTTAGACCTCATGTACGCAATTATAAACCAAGTTCGACTGCCGTTCAGGCCGAAACGGTGGGCGATTACGTGCATGTTTATCGCGCTTCTTAGCCTCATCCTGCAGGTCATTGGGGGCTCGCTGGCACACAAGGCCTCCAGTGTTGACAACTCAATCAGCCTGGGAATAAAAATTTTGTACGCAGGCAGTCTCCTGCAACTCGCATCGCTTAGTATCTTCGCGGTGTTGTTCAAGTGCCTCATAGTTCGTATAAAAGACCGGCTCATCTGGAGGATGCCAATGATCAAAATGATAGGAGTACTTCCGTTTGCTTTGCTTTGTTTAATGGTTCGGGATACCTACCGCGCCGTGGAGTCTACGAATGGGTGGCGTGGTTATTCCTTCACATATGAAGTACTAGGCTGTCTCTTCGATGGGCTGCCTATGTTTATCGCCAATGTCACGCTTAGTATCTGGCATCCCGCAGTGTTGTTGAACGAGGCGAGGCTAATGGAGGCGACAGTTGCGCGAGCGGAGGAGGTCGAATTGCGAAGCATGGAAGATCAGAACGGGCGAGGAAGTCGCTTGCTTGCCGAGTACCGACCGGTTTCTGAGGAACTTGAGCAAGCCCTTCGTAAACGATAGTACTGATCTTATGGCTGTTCCAGGCTCATGGCTCAGCTCTAGTTAGCAGACGGGATCTTGCTTCAACTGCTTTATTGATACTTCACCAGATAGTACTAGTTGAAGTTGTGGATGGGCTAGCATGTAGCAGTGCTTGTCTACATCAGCATCGATTAATAAGAAGCCAGAAGCGCTTGTCAAACTTTCTCAATAAGAAACAAGAGATAAGTGCATTCGTTACAACCCGCACACTGTAATACAATGTAGCTGGTAACATCCATCTATGCTGGCGGAGACCAAATATATTGCCAAGACCGCAGTCATTCTGAATTTCCCGTTCGGCATCTTCTCTCACTCAATCGCACGGCAGTATCATGACAACTAAATGAACAAATTATCTGACTGAAACAGACTTATCAACACATTACACCAATATAATACACAACAACAAACCCAGAGCCAACAAATGAGCGCACAATCCCCGCAGGTGCGGCAACCACCGGCAACCCCCACTTACATTTTACGCGGCCATGCCGCTGCCATCCACGCGCTACAGATCTTCCACCAGAACCTAAGGCTCGTTTCGGGAGACGCAGACGGATGGATTGTCGTATGGGACCTAGTATCAAAACGCCCTCGAGCGACATGGAAAGCCCATGACGGCGCTGTTCTTGAAGTCAAAGGTTTTAGCTTTGGAAATGGTGCTGTCACAGAGGTGTTCACGTGCGTTACCTACCCATTCTTCCCATGACCTATCTAACCTTTTCTACAGGCATGGAAGAGATCATAAACTGCGCGTATGGAGATTCAGCGTCCAGGATGAGGAGAATCTTGAAAAGACTCTCCCCGTGGACATCGAGAAAACCTCCTCAGCTGCCGCAAGCCAGCCATGGCTCGTGCATTCCCTTCCAGTGAATGCGCTGAACTTCTGTGCCTTCTCCATGGTTTTCCTGCCCCAGGATAAGGCCAACATGGCAAGCGATGTCGGTGACTCCTCGAAAGAGAACACATCGCTTTCATCAGTGCTTATCGCTGTCCCAAATGCTCTGAACTCTGGCGCGATCGATCTCTTTCATCTTCCCCAGGAGAGACGTATCTGCACCATTCCAGCAGACACGGACGTACAAACTGGAATGGTCATGGCGGCTAACCTCGTCATATCCCCAATTGGGGAGCTATATGTTGCTTCCGCTTACGAAGACGGTCGCGTTATGGTCCATGGCTGCAGGGGATCCTTGCAGGAGAAAGACATGACACCGAGTGCCAAAACGCCGTGGAAGTGGGAGAAATTGTACATATGTCGGGCTCACTCGCAACCGGTCTTGTCGCTTCATGTCTCGCCTGCTGGCAATTACTTCTTTTCATCTTCGGCCGATGCGGTGCTGGCGAAGCATCCCATTCCTTCGCTGGGTACCCCAGGATATGCCCCGGAAGAGTTGCCAATCAAGTCGATGAATACGAAGCATGCGGGCCAGCAAGGTGTGCGGATACGGTCTGATGGGAAGATTTTCGCGACTGCCGGGTGGGATTCTAGGGTCAGGGTCTACTCGTGCAAGACGATGAAGGAACTAGCCGTCTTGAAGTGGCATAAAGATGGTTGCTACGCTGTGGCGTTTGCGGATGTTGATGTATTTGATGTGTCCGAGAAAGCAGATGAAGAAAAGCAGCCTACGGTTTCGTCGAACAGCAGTGGGGATGAGGAGACACAGCTCGCCGAAAAGGCAGAAACGGAATTCTCGCTTGCAACGGTGCATCGGCAGAGATACGAAAAGGTGCAAAATACACATTGGTTAGCGGCTGGGTCAAAGGACGGAAAAATCTCATTGTGGGATATCTATTGATTTGTCGTCAATTACTATTTACATGTGTCTTGCCGATCAAGCAAGATTGAACTCGCTTGCTCCCGCCATGTGCTCCTTCATCTTGGCCCTCATCTTCTGAGCTGCCGTGAGAGTGTCCGTTTGACGAGGAACATCGTCGTCGTCGTCATCGTGACCACCAGCCTTTCTCTTCTTTCCTGCGACTGGCTTGCGGTCGGCCTTGAAGTCCTTCTTGGTGTCGGCCTGTCCTTGGCGGAGACCAGGAACGTTGATCTTGCTGGGACGATCACGCAGAGCGAAACTCTTCGCCAGATGTCCGAGATGAAGCTCCTTGATGTTGAACATGCTCCGCTCGTTGGCGATATGTGTGGCATAGGCGCGAATGTGAGACTGATAAGCTCGGCGGGCCATTTCGAGGTAGTTTTTGTTTTCCAATGCCCACCGTTCCACATCCAGCTGCCATTCAGTGGCCTTCTCCTCCCAGTCTACGTTCTGTGACTCGACATTTCCTCCAAATCCGCGCTTCAGAATGTCGTCCGCGGTGTTGCGTGTCAGCGACTTTCCGCCGTCACGGTACCCCTTCTTCAGAATGTCGACGTAACCCTCCTCACAGCCGGGCATGAGGAAGATGTGTGCACGACCGTCACGTCCCAGACGCGCAGTACGTCCGATTCTGTGCAGATGGTCCTCGGCGCTGAAGGCAGGGTCGTACTCCACGACCAGATCAACGTTCGGCAGATCCAGACCACGAGACGCAACGTCAGTACAAATAAGCACGGATGGTTCGCGATTGCGGGCAAAGGCACCCAGGGTGGCCGTCCGGACATGCTGAGGCAGAGAACCGTGCAGTCTATGCAGCGTCACCGGGTTGGAGGGATTCGAAAAGGCCGTAGCAGGCGCGATAGTTCCATGAGCCGAAGCACCAAGCTGCTTCCTCTTCTCCTCTGCATCCTCCTCATCACTATCCTCGCTCTCTTCCTTCTTTTCTTCCTCGTCTCCATTCTTCCGCGTAAACACCTCAAAGTGAAAGTCCACAGAGTCCGCACAAGATACAAAAATGATAGCCTTCATGACAGACCCCTTCCTCATAAACGTCCGTTTCATATACGCCGTAAGCGTAACAAGCCGTAGCTTCGACGCGACAATCGCATACGACTGCTTCAGCTGTGCCGGCACCCGGAACGCATCATCCTCATCCTTCTTCTTCGGCTCGCCATCCTCATCCGCCGGATCCGCCTGAATATGCACCGCATCCTTCAAACTGATCTCTCCCAGCTTCTGCACCGTCATCTTCAACGTAGCCGAACACAATATCGTCGTCCTCTTTGCCGGAATCCCAGGAATCCGACCCGGCCGCTGCCTAGCATCCAGCTTCTGAATAATCCCCGCCAATTCCTTCTCAAATCCCAACTCCATCAACCGATCTCCTTCATCCAACACCAACCACCGCACATTACTCACATCCAACGCCTGCGTATTCTCCAAATGATCCGCCAACCGACCGGGCGTCGCAACCAAAATATTCAACCCCTTCCTCAACCGTGCCTTCTCACTCTTCTTCTTCTCTCCTCCAATCACCGTCCCCGCCACAATCCAATGCGCACACCGCAACAACCCCTCCAACACCACCGCTATCTGCTTACACAGTTCTCTCGTCGGCGCCAACACAATAGCAAATAACCCACTATCGCGCTGCACTTGCTCCCCTTCCTCCCTCTTCTTCTGATTCAGCGAAATCGTCATGATCCGCTGTACAAGCGGCAACAAATACGCCATCGTCTTTCCGGATCCCGTCTCCGCCTGTATAAACGCATCGCTCTCCTCCTTCAATAGTTGCGTGATACTCGCTTTCTGAATCGCCGTCGGCGCCTTCACCTCCAGCTTCGTCAGCAAATGCGCCGCCAGCGGTGCCGATAGTCCCAGGTTCGTGAATGTGTCCAGTCCATCAATCAGCGGCGCGTTCGTCGGCTTGGCGTCTTCCTCTTCTTCGGCTCCGTTCTTCTTCGCTTCAAAAGCGGTTCGAGGTCTCGGGTTCTTCGAGAAAAGCGACGATACGACCTGTCGGGGACCCCCAGGATGTTGTTGTTGCTGCTGCTGGCGTGGTTGTTGCGATCCTCCATTCTCATCATCGTCACCAATGCGCTGTCTCTTCACCGGCCGCGGACCGGATACTTGAATGCGATTCGGGTTCCGAGGGTTGCTAGTTTGTTGCTGCTCGCCATCTGTGGATGATTTCTCTTTGCGCGGGTTGTTCGTTCGGTGCGCCGCGATTTTCTTTGCGCTGAGTCGGTCCCGCCATGTGCCGCCTTTTACTTTGGTTTTTTCGGGCCTGAGGACGGTTGTGTCTGGGATGGTGAAGTTGAGGAGGAGACCGTCGTCGGCCATTTTGGAAGATGTTAGGTAGGTAGGTAGGTGCCTGCCTGCCTTTTTCTTTTTTCTTCTTCCTTTTTTGTTGTTTGCTGGGGGAGGTTCTAGTACTGGATCGATCCGGGAAGAAACTTTACTTTACTCCAGAGGGAAATTTTCTCGGGCCGGGGTGCTTCCGAAACCCTGCGATCTTGCCCTATTTTCTGTTTTTGGGTGATAGCTGGATATTGTAGAGGAGGGTTGTTATGGGGTTATTTAGGTGTGTCTGGAGTAGTGTATATGATTGCTTTTATTGTATGTGAAGGTATAGACTTTTAGGTACTCTATATACGCTATTGAGTTCTAGGTAAATGACGTCGGGTATATGACACTTGCTTTTGAATGGATCGGGCAACGGACAGACAGAACGAGCTTTTTTAAACCCGCGGCTTGAAGATCAAGTTGTCGATCAAACGCACAGGAACTTGACCATCACCGAGGCCGCAGTCCTCGCCAGGCTTCGCCTCCTCCAGCGGAGCCATCTTCACCGCGCCACTCAAAATGGCGCCCTTAGCGGGATCGACAACCTCCAGCTCGTCCAGAGTATCCGGATCAGCCAGGGAGATGTAGTCAACCTCATATAGAGCCCTCTCCGTGGGTGACAAGACCTTCTGCTCAGACAGAACCCGTTCAGTGACGCTGTTCGCTGCGTCGAGAATCTCACTGCGGCTGACCTTGCCAGCGTTGTAGGCATTCTCCGCCGCCTTCATGGCTTCGTAGAGGACCAGACCCACTGCCCGTCTTCTCTTGCCAAGGTAAACGTTCCTCGAACTCATTGCCAAGCCATCGTGTTCACGAACAGTATCCCCGATCTTGATCTCCGTGTCGATGTAGAAGTCCTTCACGAGACGCTTGATGACCACAGTTTGCTGCACGTCCTTCTGACCAAAGTAAGCCCGGTCGGCATGGACAATGTTGAACAGCTTCATGCAGACAGTCGCAACTCCACGGAAGAAAACCGGCCGAGAAGCTCCCTCCAATTTCCGGGAGAGAGGGGTGATGGTCACGAAGGAACCGTCGCCGTCGACATCGGACGAAGGCGGCAGTGTCGGGTACATAACCTTGGTGGTGGGCGCCAGAATGGCGGTGATGCGACCGCTGTTGGTGTTCTGGCGGGCCAGCTCCGCATTCAATTCCTCTAGCTTCGCAACATCACTGTCCCAAGTGCGCGGGTAGCTGGAGAGGTCTTCCGTTACACCGAACTGTGTCGGGTTAACATAGATGCTGACGAAGACGTCGGTGTTCTCGGCCGCGGCTTGTCGGATGAGGGCGAGATGGCCTTCGTGGAGAGCACCCATGGTCGGGACGAGACCGACGGTCCGGTTGGAGAGGAGGAGCTCTCGACGCAGCTTGCGAAGTGGGGGCACATCGCGGAAGACTTGGAAGGTGTGCTGCTGGCGGGAGGAAACGGCCATTGTGGTGGTTTTGAGGAAAGATGTGGCGGCTGTGAGAATGTGTGAGGGGATAATTAGCAGGTGTGATTCAGCAGCAGCAGCAGGGGATAAATGATTGTGCGTTCAGGGGGTCCATACTGGAGAAGCGCCGTGTCCAGCCGAACATGGTGAATGCGAGTTCTAGGAAGTTGCAACGAAGGGCCCTGTCGATTGTACCGCAAGTGCCTCTTAAAAGTCCCGCAGTGGAGCAGGTCGCGCAGCTCAGGCCCAATTAGCCACAGTGATGGTGTTTAGGAGGGAGACCGCAGCTGTTGGTGTCTGCGACGATGCTCAGCCCGGGTGAAGCCAATGTAACCGAGACGGCATGCTTGGTGGTGGGATAATTTGGGCATGAAAAGCGTGCTCCGAGCTGCCGCGTTGCGCTCATCCCTCAAGCTTTCGGTGGACTGAAGTTCCTGGACGTCCAGTGCCATTGCCCAATCCAGCCTAGCGTACGGTTGCACGGAGCGCAAGGCCGTTGGGACTCACGTGAGCGGCGGCAGCACGAATCGTCCCGAGGCATTTCTGGGGAAGAAGCCGGGGATCTTCGCCTGGTTGGGACCCTCGCTTGCCTTCTCAGGAACCAGGAGCTGGTCGATCATGACAATGTCTATTTTTGCTCTCCCTCTCACTTGATGTCGCTCGGCTCCATCCCAGCAGTCTATGACCGCTGAGATCTATCGACTTGCTTATTATCATCACAGAGCTCTCAAGTGAACATTCCCTCCCCTCTCCCCGCCCGAGACACTATGCCTTCCGATAAGTCCCCGGTCGGCGACTCCGCACCGGATCTCGAGATCGTGGGAAACAAAGTCACCATTCATCCCAGTGGAGTTACTGGAGGGCTGGAACCTCAAGATGAACAGATTACCGAACGCAACCTCGTCCGCCATATGGCGAGGTTTCGCGAGAACCCTTTCGATTTCCTGCGAGAAGTGAGCTTGTACATGTCAGGAACCGGTTGGCGCGCCTACGATGATGTGATCGGACAACCCATATTCTACTCTGGTTTTACGGATCGAATGAAGTCTCGGATTCTTGCAAGTCCCTTGTTGCAAGGGAAGGTGAAGGAGCTGGCGGAGGCACGGTTAACAGTGGAGGAGAAGGATGGATTGTTGGGTGTGACACCAGGACCACTGGAGCAGAAACGGATACACCGTCGGAATGAGATACAAAGTAATCTGAAAGAGGTGGTAGATTCTATGCTGGATAACATGATATGTAAGATGGAGAGCAAGAGATTCATCCGGGGGGCGTACTATCTCTGCACGCAGCTTCTGACGCGCGCTTACCATCAAGGTGAGAGGGTATCCGACGTATTGGAGGGATTATATTAACGAATACTCAGGAATACACGTGTCTAGCGAAGAAGTCCTCCGTCTCAGATCTTTTGCGCAAGACGCAGCTGCCAAGAAGCAATCTATTGTCTTTTTGCCCTGTCACAAATCGCATGTCGACTATGTGTCGCTCCAGCTTATCTGCTATCGCCTTGGAATTGGGCTTCCGGTCGTGGTCGCGGGAGAGAACCTCAACATTCCGATGCTCGGCCCTTTCCTCCAGCATGCAGGTATGGTCTGATCCGTCTCAAACTCTCCTGCGCTTGCTGACTTTCTCAGGCGCAATGTGGATCCGGAGAAGCTTCGGAAACGATCCGTTATATAATACCGTTGTACAGGCTTATATTGATACCATGCTGCAACAAGGGTTCAACTTTGAATGTTTCATCGAAGGTGGTCGTTCGAGAACTGGAAAGCTTCTTTCACCCAAATTCGGCATTCTTAGCTTTATCTTGGACAGTGTTCTTTCCGGTCGCGTTGAGGACACCATCATATGCCCTGTTAGCACACAGTATGACAAAGTGATTGAGACTGAGTATGTGCTCTTCTCCTGATAATTGACTACTGAATACTAACCATACGTTTAGGTCCTACATCAGCGAATTGCTTGGTCAACCGAAGAGGAAGGAAAACCTGGCCGATTTTCTGTCTTCATCCTCCGTCCTCTCTTTGAAGCTCGGTCGGGTTGATGTTAGATTCCACGAGCCATGGAGCTTGAGAGAGTTCATCAACCAGCAATTGACACGAATGCCGGAACAGATCGTCGCTAATGGTGGCCCGCAGCTGAGCTATGCTGATAGAGGCCGGGTTTTGAGATCCCTGGGATACAGGGTCTTGTCTGACATTAACGATGTTTCTGTAATGATGCCTACAGCTCTGGTTGGCACTGTCCTTCTTACGCTTCGCGGTCGAGGCGTCGGCAAAGGTGAAATGGTCCGGCGCGTCGAATGGCTGTGTGAACGTGTTCGGGCAAAGGGCGGACGGGTCGCTCACTTCTATCGTTACCCAACGGATGTCGTTGTCGACCGTGCGCTAGAGGTCTTGGGGCCGCAGCTTGTGGGCGAGGTAAGCGGACTGGTCGAACCGACATATTATGCTGTGGATCGTTTCCAGCTTTCGTTCTACCGCAACATGACCATCCACTTGTTCATCACGGAGGCGCTGGTATCTGCGGGAATGTATACGAGAATCAAGCAAGGCGGCGGGCCGTCTTATCAGCGCATTTCCTACCAAGATCTCCTGAACCAGGTTTCGTTCCTATCTCAGGTGAGTCAAATTTATCATCATACCCTGGGCAACCCTTGCTAACCAACCCAGCTCTTCCGTGGCGAATTTATCTTCCCTCCTGAGGGCCTGACAACAAACATGGAAAAGACCCTCCGCGGACTCGAAAGAGACAACATAATTACCGTGAGCCGGGACGCTGCCGGCGCGCCACAATTCGTGGAGCTCAGCGACGCAGAACGGCAATGTGGCCGCGAAAACTATGACTTCTACTGCTTCCTTGTGTGGCCATTCATCGAAGCCTCCTGGCTCGGCTCCGTCTCACTCCTAGGGCTGACGCCCCCCATCAACGGCGCTGAAGATGTCTGGATTGATCTGAACAAGGCCCAAAATAGCGCCCAACTGGTAATTCAATTCACCCCCAATCATTTCCAGTAAACGCTAACACACAACACAGCTCGGCAAAACCCTCTACCACCAAGGCGACCTCTCCTACTTCGAAGCCGTCAACAAGGAGACCCTTCGAAACTCCTACCAACGCTTCGCTGAGGAAGGCATCATCCAAGTCGCCAAAAGCAAAGGATCAAAGATATCCACGATGAAGCTAGCCCCCGAATGGACGCCCGAGCGGGACCCAACCATGGGAAAGCTTCTTCCTCGTGGTCGTCTTTGGGACTTTACTGAGCTGATTGCACAGTCCAGACGTGAGGGGTGAGTTGACCCATATGTTTTATTCCTTCTTATCGATTAGATCCATTGGTCTGATATACTGACCTTTCGCAGAAAAAACCGCCGTGACGGCGCAACAGTCTCGTCGCGAGTTCTGCACATGTCGGACGTTGTGGGCCGTAAGTTATTCGAGGACGCGAGTCCTAGTCCCGCTGCGGCGGAGGAGGTTGATGTCTCCATTCGACAGATGAGGAGGAAGGCGATCACGCCCAGTTCGAAGCTGTAGATGGATCGTGTGGCTGGTGCATGAGACGAAGCGTAGCGTAGCGTTTAATACCCTTTTGTATATTTAAAGCCTTGCACGTGAGGACTACCGTTGATATCAATATAGCCTACTCACCAAGCATTAATTCTCATATTGAAAAAACTCATTCACGATATATACCTTACTCTAGCTATATACAATCGACTATTAGTAAGTTATCATACTATGAACACCCCTCACCCACCTTGACAACCCCGGACTGCACACCATCCCCGACCCCCCAACAGCCTGCACAACCACCTTCTCCCCATCCCTCCCCTGCACCCCCTCCAACACAATCCTCGTCTCAAACCCATTCTTCTCCCTCACATCCCCCACAACCCCCAACTCACTCCCCATCCTTACCTTCCACCCCCTCACATCCGTCGCCCCATTCCAACTCACATAAACCACCACACTGCCACCCTCCCGACACGCCACCGCCTCCGGCCTCGTCGTCGGCTTCCCAACCCACTCGCGGAACCGATATCCACGATACGACTGCGTCGACTCATCGAATCCAAACCGCGCGTTCATCACCAACGCCCCGTTCTCATCGTATTCCTCGATCACCGGCATCGCGCCGTGCTGGAGCAGCACGTGTCCATTCGGAAGAGGCTGGAAGCCGCCCTGGCTTACGGCGAAGAGGGGGGCGTCGGGGTTCCAGAGCTTGCGGACGGCGGTTGCGGTATGGTTTTGCATGTCGAGGGTGAGGGTTAGGCCTGTGGTGATGGTTGTGGGGGAGGTGAAGACGTTGGCGTTTTCGTTGTTGTGTAGGTGCAGTGTTAGGGATGTTGCGTTCGGGGAGTAGTTAATGAAGCGTGGGTCGTGTTGGTAGCAGAAGCTGCTGCCGGGGAGGAGGGTGAAGGAGGCGCCTTTTTGGCCCTGTGGGTGTGTGTTAGTGGGTGTAGTAATGGGGGGAGCGAGATTGGGGGGGGGGGGGAGGTACGTGAAGGTGCCAGGTTACGTTGCCATGTTTGTCGAGGAGGAAGATGCTGCACATGAAGCGGGAGGAGAGGAGGTAGGAGTCGCCGTATTTGGCTACGGAGTTGAGGTGTGGGTATTCGTAGGGATCGGACTTGCTGGTGCCGGATCCTAGGAGGGGGAGTTCGGTGTTTGTTACGGGGATCTCGGACAGGTGTTCGACTGTGCTCCACCGGAAGAGGACTTTGTTGGTTTTGATGTCGATTTCGTAGAAGAGCCCGTCTTGGACCCAGCCGTCTTTGGGGCCGCCGATGGGGGAGAGGTCGAATTGGGTGACGTTCACGGCTGTTACGAGGATCGTGCCGTCTGAGGTGATTTGACTCTCGTGGATGTCGATGTAGGAGGGGAAGGTTTCCGGGTCGGCGGTGGTGACGAAGTGTTGGTCGGTCCCGGGGAGTGTTATGCGGTGGATCTCCTGGTAGGAGGCGTTGAGGATGCTGATTGCCCCAAAGCCATAGCCTAGGTAGTTGGCGCCCTGCCAGTAGGCGAGGACGGGTTCGCCGTCTAGCATTTGGGGCTGGTAGGCGGAGGTGTTGGCATTGGGGCCTTGCCATACAAGCTGACCGTCGTCGGAGTATATGGCTGGGTAGCTCCATTCCATGCTCGAGGAGGATGGAGAGAAGAAGAGGTTGCCTAGTTCTGTTTTGCCATTCTTGGTGACGTTCAGATATGGCGCTTGGATAGAGGTACTGCGGAAGGTCTGCTGGGGCCAGGTGGACTCTGCGGCGACTCTCGCGCCGAGGAAGAGAGTGAGGAGACTTGCAGCATTGTAGCTGCTGAATTGATGCATTTTCAGTCTTCTGTGATCTCTCAAAGAAGGCTTAGTCTCCAAGGAGCTGTGGCAGAGGAATTGACATTATTTATAGCTCGCGTGCGTCCCCGTATGTGATATCACAAGATGCAGTTTCGGCCATTACACCGGCAATCCCAGCTCGAAGGAGTGGACACCAGCGGGGTAACAAGATGAAGAGCTCTGTGGCATAACGATTCGGAAAGTGGACATTGCCGTTCTTCCAACTAAAGAAAGTAGTCTATGTTGGATGCCCAACCTGAGGAAGTCCGAGCGTATCCTCGGTAAAGCCTTCGCGGTGGGTGAGAGGGACCTCGCCGAACATGCCTTTCCTGAATGTGTTTAGTAGTAGATATCCATGAGCTATTGGTAAGTCGATTTGAGTCAGTGGAGGTGCCATCTGTTGATGGGATTGGATGATGGGATTTCCGAATGCGGAGAAGTTCCGGAACGTAATAGCAAGTGATGACATTGTGGGAGTTCATGCTAGATCGACAAAGTCGACAGGGTCGCTTAAGCGAAGATAAGATGCGGAGAGCTCGAGTTCTACTGAAAACTGAGCGGAATCGTTCCTGATGCGATACTGGGGCCCCGTCTCCCCGGAATGCTGTGGGGTGGCGTGTGGGGACTCGGGGGCTTGATCGTGCTGCTGCTGCTGCTGCTGCAGGGCATTCGCTCGCTACCGGCCGCGGCCTAGTATAACACCACGCTTAGAGCGCGGCATATATGGACAGGGCTTGGGGAACAGCCGACGGAATTGCCGAGCAGTGTTCAGGTGACATTTTGCTGTTTTTGAGCAGCTAGGCATCGATAGAATGAGGGGTACTCTTCTAGCGCAGACTGAAGCCAGGTCTAAACATCTTTTAGCACAATATCTTTTACAATATAGTAATTCAGAGGCGCTCGCGATGATATTTGCAGAAGGTGGACAACTGGTGGAAAGCCAGGCATACCGAAAATCGCGGCACGCTCAGGGTAAGAAGACAGGAAACAGGATGCAACCCAACGTTGAGAAGTTCCGAGACACCTGGTCCAACACCATTTCCTACCTCTAAATTTCGATTAAATTTATCTGTTGTCATTATTCATGTCGCTTAGCATGTCAACTGCTAGCTCAGAAAGCCTGTAGGATAATCAGAACTTGGGAGCCTGTGGGAGAGGCTTTTTAGACCACATCCTGGCACATCGGTGAGAAAGAAGGAGGAGAAGAGCTTGTATAAAAGATGATTCTTGATCACCTGACACATGCAAAGACATTTCGCCATCGCATCGTCTTATGTCGCAATATAATATTGCGTTGATAGTTATGCTTGAGGAATGAATGTCTATGTATGCATTCAGTCCTGCTCCGTATTGCTTTCAGGTAGAAAAAATACCGAAGTCCTAAATATCCGAGATGCACTAATCATTATTACCACTCCTCGAACTGGGCTGTAGTGGTGCTCATAATGTCCTGAGACTAAGATATCGTCCAGCGTCTAATGCAGCTGATATTGCCGCAGTTTCATCGTTTGATTTTCGTTCTTTTTCTTCTCACATCCAGACCTATACCCATAGCAAGTGAGACCATAACTCTTGTCAGAATTGCTTCGATCTAGCAGATCGCAGATTCCTATATCCGTGTGGGAGAATAATCTGTAGGGGTATATTCCAATAGAGGCAAGCTAGACGAACCAGCCTGCCTCCGAGATTTGATACCTGAATTGAGTTACATGGAACCTGATTCCCAGGTATACATCCGAGCTGTCTGACCAATGGTACTCCTCACAAAGGCCATTGTTGGTAGGGCAAGTCCTGACGTCAGAAGCGGACGGTCCAAGCGGCTCCCCCAACTGGCATCCCCCTGCATCTTCCCCGCCATTTCCACCACCACTTCTGCATCAACTGAATCATCGCTCCGATCGAGATCTGATTAACCAAATTCACTTCACAGCAAATATTACTATAACCAAGGGTGCGCTAAGCATGTTGCGAAATACGAAACTCCTCAGCACCAGATCCCATCCATTTATACCTGTAACTACAAGAGCTGGTCAGCTGTGCCACCCATCGGTATCTTCCTACCAGCATCGCTGCCTTGTGACTTCCCAAACCATCCACAAAGAAAGACATCTCGAGTCCGATCTGGACCGGCATCTACTCCGACCTGAGCATAACGAGAATACCAAGTCGGGCACCGACGACGAAGCTGCTCATCACTGGTCTTCGTACGATCCCACTATCACCGACCCGGACCTTGAGGTTCTCGCCTGCGAGGAAGAGTGCGAACTCGATGGTGAACTAGATGACCCTTTGTTCGTCAGCCCAGGCAATAGGGAAGTCAGTCGTTTCCTTGATCCGATGATCGGAGGGGCGGTGCATGGTGCTACGAGACCGGGCCCAAGTGGGAGGGGATGGACGAGAAAGCATAAGGAGGTGATCATCAAGAAAATCCCAGGAAGTCAGTTTGAGAAATATGATCGAATACTGCAGGAGTTGAGGAAGGCAGATAAGCGGTGAGTTGAAGACTTCCTCATCTGTATCCAGTGTGATCATGTTGATACTCGTCCAGGGCCATGAAATGAGTGTTGTAGTGAAGGGGTCTACCGGCCAGGAATTACTTTCTGCATAAAAGACCCCTTGTTGTCCGTGGTTTGCCAATTTCAACCCGGTATGGAGTTAGCATACATTGAATATGGCTTGTTAGGTGAGTTGTTGATGGATGTGCATGTATAGTGTCGGACTCGGTTATGGCCAGAAGACGGGCCACTGTGTCACTCAGTCCCAGATTGTACCAAAATGTGATATATGAAACAAAGTGAAAACGATGCACTACAAAGTCAATGTGAAGAGTTATCACCTGTTATACTTTATACCTTACTGAGCTGCCATCGACCGTACCTAGCCTTAGACCGAATGTGTAATGGGTTCAAAAAGACCATGTTCCCGGCATTGTGTGCAACTACAACATCACAGTTGGAATAACTAAGATTGTATATGAGCTATCATATGGATGCTTGATTACGAAAGTAGTACTGTATCCAAGTGCACTATAAAGCGAGAAAAGTCACTAGTCGACATGACCAAAACGACATCAACAAAGCCCCACTACCATCACCAAAACCGACAAGTCAGGGCCTTTTTTATTCATAAATAATTAGAGGGCCCATTCAACTAGTGACAGTCATATACTATTTCCTTATTCCATTTAGTCGTCACAGAATCCAGAAAAATCTCCCCTGAACAGCCTTACCACTATGGACAATCATAATACATGTAGATCACTTTCTCAAACAGGACATCGACATAATAGTAAAACTCCAAATCTTGGAGTGACCGGATAATGCCCTGGAAAATAGATTAAAGATAGATTAATATCCCACCCGCTAGCGTGGCCAGTCATCGTCGCATACGCCACCCGATCTCCAACCATTACGTCAGTCCGGGCACTGTGGCTGGATGGATGGGATGTATTGAATGAATAGACCTGGAGAGATTAGAGTTTGCTATTGTGATTGTACCTTGTTGTGATTGATTGATCTTTAGCTTTAGTTCATTGAATGATTGTTTTGGACGGACTGTTTTAAATGAGCCAAACAGGTAATCCGTAATGGACTTTAAGAGCAATCCTGAAAGTATGCCGGAGAAGATGTATATATTACACTGTTGTATAACGCTGACTTCATTGGGATGGAATATATACATGGTCAACTACTTCACTTCTGAATGGGAAGGAACTACTAGGTTAAATGTTTTTCGAGAGCGAGACTATCGCATGTACTGTCGTAGTATGTTGGTTATGAAGCTGGAAAAGGGCAAATCGAGCTCAAGTCCAGTGTTCCAAAACCGACACGACCCATTAGATTATACAGTAGAATTCCTCAAGTGCATATAGCTCCATGATAATTATTTCTGACTGGTGCGTAAGGCCTCCACTTCTGCATTCTCATCATTGGAAAAGGATTTGTATGCATCTATAACCGATCTCCGCGGCGCCGCGGCCTTTCAACTTCTGGTCGACTCTCTGCCACCAGACAAGCAATTGACAAACTGTGATCAGTAGACATGGCCTGCGATTTCTCTACTGCCCTAAATTATACCTGAAAATTGCGTACATAATCAAGAGGCTCACGAGTGCACTCGAGTACACAGATAGGCCTCCGCTATGTGCATGTTGGCCTAGGCAAAATAGATCCTTTAAGGACAGATCCAAAGCGTATAGTCGGGGCATGCGAGGGCTGATAACCCGGAGTGCGGTCTGTAGTGTACTCGAAAGATGGTGATTAGTACTTCATAGTCCATGCCTATCTCTTAACCTCTATTCGCAATTGTTTGTTGCAGGTCTGAATGACAAACGTGCACAGGATTGACTAAAGCTTAAGACCGTTTACCGCAATATACGATCACGGTAGAACTCTCACGATATTTTAGTAAACGATGCGAAATCCAAAACATAGGGTATGATATTTTCGGAACCTGGATTTCCGGGTCAGTGGAGTGGAAGGTTTGATGTGTAGAAGATCGGACATAGTGTCAGATAGTCACTTGTGGCGCGGGATGAAGTGCTAGAAGGAGATGCTAATTCTCCGACAGACTACTAATTGGCTGCTGAAATGTAGGTATTTGCAACACACGATAAGGATGAGAGTGTAGAAGAGACAAATGTCTGTATCGGTAATTTGCTTTCATTCACTTCATGCGCAATAATAATACATGATATTAAGATAAGAATCCTAAAAGTCGAACTTCGACCAAGCCACAGCGTCAAACTCCGGCCTGAAGCTGACCCGTCCACAGATGAGATCATTCCCCACATCTGCGACACGAATCGGAGGATAAACCGCCCACAATGCCATCATTGCTGAATCGCAACAGAGCCACGTTGTCCGCTCATTGGATCTGATCCTAGCCGTTACATGTCAGATCTCATTTTATTGACTGGGGAGTCAATGCGCCTTCAAGTGCTGGAGGTGGTACGGGATGACGTTATCCGATGCTCGGCCGCGTGTCGACAATGCGAAGCGCTGCGATCCGTGGTTGAGAGCGAAACTTTCGGCCGCGGACTTGATATCCTGTTTTCTGTACCATTGTGTTACTGTTGACGGGATGTGATGATTCTTGGATTTCTTGGGCGATGCTGAAGATGTATTCTGAAGTTGGGATATTGACAGTAGGATATGACAGTGAGGAAACCAGCGTAGTGAATATTATGGAGCTGTCAGGGCTTGAAGGCACGGTTCCTGACTAATCTGCACTAAGGCACCTGAGATCAGGTGTCTGCAGCGAACAAGAATAGACTGCTGCCCCAGTTAATATCCTCGAGAAGGAAAGCAGCAGAGATGATCCACCCACTTCTGACGCAAGAATGATCCAGCTCTTCGCGCTAACTGGGGCAGTGGGTCAGCCTTCATCTACTTTGTCTCTATTCTTTGTCTCTGGGCTCGATTCTAGATTCCGTGCATCTGATGGGCTGATCCTGCACACCATCGCGCTGCTTGCAGCGATGATGTGACAGGCTCCTTACGCCACGGAGGCCCTGCATGTATCTGCTCGACGGTGACGGGGATGATAACACCCCAGATTTGATCCAGGCGCAATGACGTAGGTGCGCTTCGCTGCATAGTAGATGCATTTAAAGGGTCTTGAAGGGTTGGACTGATGGTAAGCATCTAGTCAATAACTTATTCCTGCACATACCTGACCTTAATATCAAGATCAAACCTTACAATTGCTATCTACTTAGTTCTCACTTTTTCCTACCTGACGAATCACAAATTACAAAAGGCTGTACGACTGACGAACGCGACGACAAATCAGCTACTTCTACTACACTAAGACAACTATCCAATCAAGATCGGCGCATTTTTCTCTAATCCTTTTACGTCTAACCAACCTATCCCATCGAATACATCAACTATGGCCTCTCCTATCGCAAGTAAAGTCTCCAAGCTCAATCTCAGCCCCGACTCCAAGCGAGGCACTCCACCCAAGATCCGCCAGCAGACCCCCCAGAAGAAGACCCCTCCCAAGCTTCAGGCCCAGGAATCTGCCTCCCAGGCTGAAGAGCCAAGCGCCCCCTCTACCCCCACCCCCAAGGGTAAGGTCAGGCAGCTGCAGTCGGAGCAGCGCGCTTCCCCTGCTCCGGTCCCAGATGATGCCCAGTCCCAGGCATCCGGATCGGCAAGCCAGATCGAAAGACCCGCCTCTGAGCTTGGAGACAAAGCCCAGGACACTGCGCAGAGTGTGCAAAATGGCGTCGAAGACCAAGGTGTCGGCCAGATTGACTTGTCTGTTCTGAAGGGTCTGCAGGTCGGCGAGGATGGTCTAATCCATGACCAAGATGGCAATGCCATTGGCCGACTTGCAGAAGGCCAGGCCGAATATCTGACCGGATATACTGTTGGTGATAACGGAGAGATCCTCGACGAGGATGGGGATCTCGTCGGAGTTGCCGATGTCCTTCCCGAGGCCTTCCAGAATGACGTTGGCAGTGTTCAGGAGCAGGCCGAAGAAACAACCGATCAGGCAACAAAAACCATCAACAATATTGCCGAGCTGGCGGATCGCCCTGTCTCAGAGTCTGGGGAAATCAAGGATGATAATGGCAACGCCATCGGCAAACTTGTTGAGGGCAACCCCGAGGATTTGGCTGGTTATGCTCCTGACAAGGAAGGAAATATTCTCGATGACGATGGTGACCTTATTGGTCGGGTAGAGATCGCATCCCAAGCTGAAGAAGCAGCTGAAGGAGCAGCTGAAGAAGCAGCTGAAGAAGTTCCCGAAGCGAAACCAATCACCGATATTGCGGCCTTGGCTGATCGTCCCGTGTCGGCGTCTGGCGCTATCAAAGACGACCAAGGAAAGCCGATTGGAAAGCTGGTTGAGGGCAATGCCGAGGACTTGGCAGGATACGCCCCCGACAAGGAAGGAAATATCTTGGACGATGACGGTGATTTAATTGGCCGTGTCGATATTGCGTCCGAAGCCCGCCAAGGTGCTGAGAGCGTCGCCAGCTCCCAGAGACCTGCCAGCAAGCTGAGCCGTGAGGCTGTCGATGATGCGGAGCAAAGGGACACTTCAACCGCTGATCAAGCCAAGGAAGATGGCGAGGAGGCTGCTGAAGAAGAAGCAGAGGATGACCTTCCTCCCCTTTCTACGCTTGAGGGTCTCAAGTGCAACAAGATGGGCAAGATCGTCGATCGGGAAACCGGTAAGCCTGTTGGTGAACTGATCGAGGGCGATGCGAAGAAGATCTCTAGACTGGGAGCCCAGCTCGATGACAAGGGACAGTTCTGGGACAACCGCGGCAACGTTATTGGAAAGGCCAAAACCCTTCCCGTCGAGGAGCATCCCGATGAACCGCCCTTTGGCGGGTTGGAGGGACTCCACGTTGTTGAAGATGGTTGGGTGGAGGACCAAAATGGCAAGCGTGTTGGCAAGATCAGCGAAGGCGATGCTAAGAAGGTCCTTGGACGTCCCGTCGATGAAGATGGTGACGTCTTGGACAAGAACGGCAATGTCATCGCCAAGGCTGAATACTATGAGGCCGAAGACGAGCCCGAGCCCGAGCCGGAGGAAGCCCCTGACCTCTCCAGTCTAGAAGGTCTCACTCCCAACAAGCTCGGCTACGTGATTGGACCAAAGGGCGTCCCGATTGGCCGTGTCGTGGAAGGCAAGGTGAAGGAACTTGCCGGCAAGGAGATCCATGACGGCCAGATCTGGGACGGACCTAAGCCAGTTGGACGTGTTGAGCTTATTCCCCCGGAAGAGCGGGAGAAATCAGCCGAAGGCCCGTTCGCCGGATTGGAAAACCTTGTTGTAAACAAGGAAGGCCTCGTCGAAGATGACGATGGCAATGTCGTCGGCAAGGTCATTGAGGGCGACATCAAGACCTTGCGTGGACGTGCCGTTGATGAGGATGGAGAGATCATCGACAAGTACGGCAACGTCAAGGGCCGTGCAGAGCCGTATGAAGTAGAAGAGCCGGAGGAGGAGGCACCAGACCTGTCGATCTTGGAAGGAAAGACTGTCAACAAGGCTGGCAACGTTGTGGATGCCCAGGGTAACGTCTTCGGACGGATTACCTCTGGTGACAAGCGCCTTGCTGGACGGAAGGTTGATGGCAAGGGTCAGATCTGGGGTGATAACGGCAAAGTAATTGGCACAGCTGAGCTCATCCCAGGAGCCGAAGAGCAGAAGCCCGAAGGCGTCTTCTACGGATTCGAGAATCCCGTGGTCGGAAAGGACGGCGTTATCACTGATGCCTCGGGTCAGATCATTGGCCGCATTGTTGAAGGCGATGCGCAGCGTCTCCAGGGCCGCCAGGTTGACGAGGATGGCGACATCTTGGACAAGAACGGAAACACTATCGGCCGAGCTGAGCGCTGGCAGCCCGAGGAGAAGCCGCGTGATGTTAACCCGATGTCGGGCCGTAAGGTCAACCGTGAGGGTGAGGTGCGCGATGCTGATGGTAATCTCATTGGCAAGCTGACCTCTGGCAACCTGCCATCTCTCATCGGCAAGGAGATTGACGATAACGGATACGTGGTGGACAATGATGGTAACAAGATCGGAGAATGCACTTTGATTGAGAACATTCCCGAACCCGAGCCCGAGGAGCCTGAGGAAGAACCCCAGGAGCCGGAGCTCTCCCCCGAGGAGCAGGAAGCTCAGCGGAAGATAGAGGAAGACAAGCAGTTGGCCAAGAAGATGAGCGGTATTGTTGCTCAGACACTGGACCGCATTCGTCCCGTCTGCAAGATGATTTCCGAGGTATGTTCAGCTACTTTGATCACCACGACCATCACTAACCCTTCGATAGCACATCGAGAAGGCAGACCGCACACCCAAGGACGAACTTGACGAGGAGCAGCTGGTGAAGGATGTGAAGCCGCTCCTTGAAGAGGGAAACCAAATTCTGCAGGAGTGCAATGGTGCCATCCGTGCTCTCGACCCGGACGGCCATGTTGCCGCCACGGCCAAGGCCCGTGCTGCTTCTCACGAAGCTTCTTCAGAGGAGTACGCCTTGGCTGAGCAGCTCAAGGAGCTCACCGATCTGGTTGTCAAGACCATTGACAACGGCAAGAAGCGGATTGCAGGCATGCCTCATGCCAAGAAGAAGCTCAACCCTCTGTGGGCACTGCTGAGCGAGCCCCTCGGTCAGATTATCACTGCCGTTGGCTTGCTATTGAATGGTGTCCTCGGACTGGTCGGCCGGTTGTTGCAAGGTCTTGGTCTGGGCCCCCTTGTGAATGGATTGCTGGGCGGACTGGGACTGGATAAGTTGCTTGGCAGTCTGGGATTAACTTCCTTGACGGATTCCCTGGGCTTGACTGGAAAGAAGAAATAATTGAATAGGCGATGGGAAGTGTGCTTGTGATATTACTTTCTTGATTCAATATTTGCCATTGATGTCAGATTGACGATAATGATCTTCACTATGTCGATAGCTAGTTAATTAATCAGAGCTTCACCTTATTAACTTTATTCCATACTTATCTTCGTTCATAGTCGGAATTTACTCACTAGTATGCACTGCCTCCGAAAGACAGACTATAGAGTATTCCTGCCTTCCCTCCTTTACGCCCAAATCTTCTTCTTCCACTACACTCCCCAGACTTTCAGCGCTCTATATAATCCTTCCATATACCCTACTTACCTGCCATCTTAATGCCACATAGATAGTACTAGGTCACCATATCTACATTACCTATATTACACACATATACCACTTCCCTCACAAAGAGGAAACTGTAACGCTTGTGGATGCATCAAGGTTCCATATTCCTCCCATAAACTCAAGCCCAACAGTCACCACAACACTCGTGGCAAAGTCAGCATCGGAGCCAGAGAAGGGGAAAATAGAATTACAAGAAGAAGGCTTTCTTCTCATACTTCCTCTAAATCCCTGACAAATACCAAATCCGGCGATGATTGTCTAAGGACTCCTTCGTGAGATAAACGTCCTAGACACATCAGTGTTCCATTACGATGCTAACCATTGCAATGTATGGCACAAGCATGCCTACGTGTTATGAAGAACCGACTACCAAAGGATGCAAGCAAAGAGCCCAACGGGCATTGTGGTCGCTGCTAAGTTTGAAAAACTCCGTGTCGCAGAGGACTAAAATGCGTACAAGGCTGAATTTGGCACCCGGTGGCTACAGAAGCGAATTGATATGTTGTTAATGCTATTGGAGCCTTTGCCCAATTATGCCTGGCAATATATGCTTCTAGTATATATAACTACCAGCATGACAGATAAAGTGATCGTCGTCTTGTCAAAATTAAATATCGAGAAATACCTGAGATCGCTTGAAGTCTCACGAATTCGTGGGCCCTGAAAAATGCAGAGACATATTATGTCTTATTAATTAGAAGGAGCATGCGCTAATTGCAAAACCCGGTCTGGGTATGATATTTAGTATAGTAAGTTCTCTCTGTTCGGCTCACGCTTAGTTGCTGATGCCCGCATTATAAAGCTTAAAATTAAACGTTCACCGCTGTAGTACTAACTACGATCAACATTGAGTCGGAGTATGTCATGGTATCCGGTGCCAAACGCTCGCTATTTCCTAATTTGATTGAAGACATATGCAAGCGGAATATACGCAGAAACTATCCAATCAACGGTGTTAAGCTTTTACTATGAGGCTGGATTAGTATTCTTGACAACAAAGTTCCAACTTCTTTAACAATATCAGCTTACGCTACTCTGAACCGAGTTACCTCGAGGATAAGCCCACAAGGATCTCTATGTCAGATAACCTGATCTAGCTGCTTATGCAAATGTTAAAGGGCCATACTAAGCTTGCATGGAGTCGTTAACTTCGTGCATAACATGTCCATTGCGGTTGGAGAAAATAAAGACGATGGTTGCGCGGACTCAGAATGATGCTCCGTGGATCAGACAATCCGCCTTACAAGACTGGCACTCAACACCGGATTGTACTATCTCGATCCAGGATTTCGCTGCTGCGCATAGCCCCAACCCGCACAATGACACCCACGACTTTCATTTGGCTGAACCGACAGGGCACGGGTCGCCTCGATATATGATCTGCGTAATTCACACTCAGCTGGAGAGGCTAGGAGATACAGCCGAAGTATTTCCTCTACTATTCATATTACCTGCTTCATAGTTTGACCGGCAAGCTTCAAAACGCACACAGTTGATCGTCTTGGCCAGAGAATGAGTGTTGAGTATACCCTTGGATTTGCTAAGATCCGAGGAAGATTCCTTTCTACTTACCGAAGAGACTACATGGGTGACAAATGGCCGATAATCAACGAATCATCAGCCAGGGACATATGAAAGCTCACGGGGGCCATCTCAAGGCGGTTGCTTTCTTGTACCAGGAAGAAGGCCGCTACATTGATGAAGATGGCAAAGTGCAATCTGTGTCAATGGGAAACCTCCAATCCATTTCCCAACACTCGCACTATAACTTGTTGAACATTATCAAACAGAATGACAGATACGTTTAGACCACGGGTAAAATTGCAGACCAACTGATCTGAAGCGTCTTTATGTATCAATATCTAGTTTTGACGAAGTGTTGCGCATTGGATGATAGGGATAGCGTAAGGTTTCATGAATGGCAACTTCTGTCAGGATGTCGTTTCCACGTGCAACAAAAGATCCTGAAATGATCCCGTCAAAGTGATCGTTTCTATATATACATGCCGCTTTTTAAAGCAGCGACCTTGCGGACAGAATATATGTCAGAGGCAGATTTTCTCTTGATCTGTCGCGCGCGGGTATAAGTCATTCGGCGAGGACGCCGGATGGCCATGTTGCTGTTCGAGTATGCTCTAGCTGAGAAAAGGCAATACAGGATTGTTTACCACTGGAGAGGCTCATAGCTCTCATTCAATGCCCGTCCTTTTCAGTCCAAGAAAGCTGGCGGGTCAGTGTCCTTTATCAACGAGGAAGGCTGCCTATATTAATGCAATACTATATGGAGAGTTAAACCACCTACAGATCAGACAGGCCTGCAGTTGAACAATAATGTTCAAATGCCTTAGTATTACGGCCACGTTGACAAACTTCACAGATAATAGGGGTGCAGGAAGTGATATGTACTGCCTGGATGTTTTATTTATTTATTATTTATCAAATCCGCAGTAACAGCCCAGACTATATACGCAAAGCAGAAGAAGGTGATGAAGAAATGCGTTCTCTCATTACTGACTATATATTATCAGCTCTAGAACGACGTGATCAACGAATGGACCGAGTGCGATAGCAGATAATTATGCAAGCCGTACAGCTGTGCGCGAAATGACAACTGACCAAATGAACCACGGCTCCAAAGAAGCCCAAGATGGGTGTTTGCATGCAAACATGTTGCTATGGATATAGAGGCGACATGCCGAGGAAAATACAGTATCTAGTCTTCTTCCAATCAGGACTCCATGCCGAATCACGCTTTGAAGTAACGACTATCTTCACAGTGATACCCTCCATATCGATAATGGGACACTCTACCTTGAAATAAAGTTTCATAATTATTGCCAGCACTGTCTCAACATAGCGAAGACAATATCTACTCTGAAGCATTGCCAGAGCAAGCGGACTGCTTTGCAAACCTGACTTCAACATTCGACTTGAAGACCACAGAAGGTGTCATGGCATCGCTTATTCTAAAATTCCACCACACAAAGTGCGTTGGGATCTGTTTGTCTTCTCACACGAAAGATATCATTTGAGACCTACACCACTTGGACTAGATATGTCTGCTCGCAGAAGCCATTGCGTCCATTTTTAGGCAATTGTATTGAATGAGCTATGTTTCCATATTTCCTGAATGAATGCTCTCTGGCAACAGTGATACTTTGTGAGCACCATGCTTGAGGGTTAGGATTGAACACAAACAATAGTGGCAATTTCCATTCTAACCATCAATACTCGAAGGGCTACAACATACCTCGTGTTTACTCGATCAATCCATTCGAGACGTAGAATGTTGTCCTCATTTGTTGGGCATGCGACGGCTCTGCTATTTTTTATTGCCCAGATAGGCGAAGCTCATATGCCTGAGCCGGGACATATGCTCTGGCAAGCTTGAATGGGACATACAGTACCTTGTTCTATCATCATCAAAAGGAGTGCCTACATCACAAACTTTAGAAGATCTACTTTCCGGGAGAAGAGGTATATGGTCTTGCTGTCTGTGATATGCCAGATGAGATCTGTATCGCTCGAACAGAATTCATTGACAAAGGACAAGCCGCGCAGAGCCCCACGCCATTATAGGACCAATGGAATGCATAATGCGTGATAAAGGTTGTAGAAATCTTTTCTGACGATCCATGAACATGAGATTAAAGGAAGCCTTACTGTACCATCTCGCATACGTCGATCGCTGGTTTTTCCTGGCCTTGGGTTGATCGTCCTTGCTTGTTGCTATATTGTCTAATCTTATCCAAGGTCTTTCAGCTATCTTGGAGACAATACATTATCTGGTTCGACTTCCAAGAGGTCGAGTGGACCGACGGTTTTGCAAATGCTTGGGATATCTCACTATTATCTTGTGTGTCGATGTGTGCGAACCTGAAGGTCAAATCATCAAAGCATGGACACACACCAGCTTTAAGAGCACGACATGGCTGCTGTTGGATACGGGAGACAAGTATTACTTTACAGGTAAGAAGTACCTGTTGAAGAAAGCCAAGGCCACTGCCATGTACCTGGATATCAAACTGGTTAGCTCATCACATGAATACCCTAAGCATTTCTACATATAGAATTCTTTGACAGGAACCGAAAGATGGCTGGCAAAAGAAAATGACTCAGCGATCTGATGGAGGCATAAGCGGAAACACGGACCTGTTGGAGAGAGCACTCATTTGAAGTCTCCCGAGTATCACAACCTCGGTGTCAACCCAGATAAGGTAGATGAGGTATTAGATGCACTTACAGATCTACATAACAGCAGCGGCATATGTTTCAGAAGCTTTGGGTGCCTAATGTTCATTGCCCTCACACAGGACGTTTCAGATTCACCGGTAAAGACCAGCTGTCACTCTTGCAGCAGTGAGGTCCTCAAAATTGGGCCCTCGCTCCTGATTATTTTATCAGAACCCGAATCATATTTCCACAATCGTCCTGCGGATTCAATATCGGGCATGGGGTTGAGGGACCTTACATGATACACCAGCACTGTATACCGTCTGCAGCTGGCCCTCCTCCGAGACAGGACCAGTCCCATTAGGAATGCCCCATTTATATAGCATTAGAAAGCGGCCACCTACGAGGCTTTTATGACTACTAACCAGCGGTTCCCAAGCATAGACATTATCTTCATCGCATGCCGAAGGTTACAGGCTACGTTATCTGCTTGGCGGCGAACAAGGTTCCTAATTCTACATGGGCGGTAGCGAAGAATGGGAACTTGGTGTTGTTGTCCGGTACTGACAGCATTGAGGAAGCCGCTCGCGCATAATACCCGGATAACAAACATCACGATTC